CTCGAGTGTGGCTGGAATTTGTATGAATCCTGTGCTGCCAGTGGGGGGGGGGGCAGGCAGGGGGGTGGGTAATTGATATGTGCCGGATGGCTCCCCGATAAACAGCCAGAGCTGCCAGGAATTACAGGAGCATTTAATGCATTTCGGGGCTGCGGGCGTTCGCGGAAACAAGGGGGGGTGGGGTGTTGGTTTGTCAGAAGTGTCGCAGCCAAGGCTGTACAACGCATCTCTGTCCATTTTCTTTTTTTTTTTTTGCTGTAGATGTGTGAACGTGTCTGTTTAAATAAACATCAGGCTGATGGTGTGGCCATCTGACCGCACCATGCATCGTAAATGGCTTTTTTTTTTGGGCGGGGGGGTGGGGAATCATGCCACATCCTGGGTCTGGCCCCACTCCCTCCGGTCCTATTTACGTACCCGGGCCCCACCGGGGCCCCACTCGTCCCCACCGGGTCAGAGCACGCTACTGAAAAGGCTCGTGTGGCTCTTGGCGGGAAGCGGCCGTGGAAATAAAACCTTGGGAGGCTAAAAGCATCTCTCTTTGTTTTGCTCGGTTTGTTTTTTTTTTTTCTCCACCTTTGACAAAAGAGCTGTCGAATAGCTTTCTGTGAACGAAAGGGGGAGAGGAGGGAAAAAAAACACATGTGGGGAAGGCAGAAACGTGCCCCACCTCCGCCCGCCGTGTCTCTTTTGTCGTCTTTCTAGCGTGTCCGGGTCCCTGTTTGCTTCGCGGTGTGCCGTCTCGGGATGTGCGTGTGTGCAAAGTCGCACGATCGATGTCTTTTCGGTGTGGCTACGATGCTCATGCTTCAAATGCTGGTCCTTATGCTAGAGAGCGTCTTTTTCAACTATTTTGTCAGTGTCAGCCCACAGAAACAACCGGCAGTCCAGCAGAAGATCAATTGATTTTGCACCTCCCCCCCCCCCCTCCAGGTCTCCCTCTCTTCCTGGCTTGATCTCTCTCTCTCTCTTTTTCCTCCTGCTTTGTGCGGCTCTTTTGACATACCTTGATCTAACGTCCTCGCATAGGACTGCACGCTTTGTCGGGTGTGAGCGGAACCTTCTTGGGGCAAATCGATGGGTCTCACCACGCAGGCCCTCTTGCCTGCTCCCTCTCCCAGGTGGTCGGCGTCTTTTCACCTTAATTATCACCTCGTTTGTGGAGCCCCCTGGACACATGGCCCACAAGTTCTTGCTGTATTCCTCTCTCACACACGTCTGGTCCGCCCATCTCGCTCTTGGATGTTATTCATTTTTGTCTTTCGTATCTCAGAAATCCACACGCTTGCTAGAGGAATTGGAAAGATGTCTTGGTTTAAAGAAAAATGGCTCGAGTCTTAATCGTGGTGTAAGATGAATTCTTTTTTGTTCTTTTTTTTTTTTTTTTTTTAAAACTACCCCTTTTGTGCAAAAGCTTGTCGTCTGCACACACTTTGAGAAAACGTTGAACATTTCCTCATTTCACATACAATAAGGTGTCGTTTTTAAAGTGAACCCCAAGCCAATTAAACTTCACCAGCTTCTGATCCTTTTTCTTCTTTAAAACACTTTAAAATGAGTAACGGTGTGTTTTTCATTTAAGAAGTGGTCCTGATCCAAAGGAGACTTGGAAGGGAGATAACCGTTTAAGAACTTTGCCAGTAGCCAGCAAACTTTTAGAGTTTACATAAAACCCGCGTGGTGATTTATTTGCTCAGCACTGAAACGCATCTGTAAGTTTATCAGTTTTATTTAATGCAGTTGTGGGGACCATTTTAGTGTTTTAAAGCGTGTGCCTGCTGGGACCCCATACACATCGTGGCCGGGGGACTTCCCCAGGCGTGATGTATAGCCGGGGGTCCGGTCCTGCGTGAAAAACCCGAGATTTATATGGAGTGGGCTGTAACAGCTCAATAACGCAGGCCCGTAATCTACTCTCATTTCAAACAGAGTCCTGATTTACGAGCCGCCATGCCACTCCAGGCCCGAAATGAGGTGTTCAACATATGCTTTGTTGACATAAATTTGAAATTTATTGCCGTTGTCAAAACTGACTGTTGGATGAAGTTGCTTATTAACCGAGTGAACGGCTCAGGCGGGTTTTATGTCAGCTCTCTTAATGACTACAGTCAGTCTGCTTAAAGGAGGCCCCCTATCTAGCAGGCCGGCAGCTGGGGGGAGGGGGGGTGGTCTGAAGGGGGAAGTGTGAGGCCGGGGGTGCGCCCACAGTTCACACAAAACGGGTGGCTTATTTTCAAACACATCTGGGAAAGGTCATTGCTACTTGGTCGGAAGGTAGAACAAGTAATAATTGCTCAGTTGTATTGCTCCCCCCTCCCCCCCCCCATCGAAATCATCTGCTTCTTATCCGATGGAATTAGCCTGCCTCTCCTTACGGCCTCGTTCCTGGAGTCTCCGATGGGAGCTGGCGGTCGGGATTTCCAGCCTGGACTCTGCTTAGTTAAGAGTGACTTTTGGAAAAATAAGCACTCTGAACGTGAGACTTCCTGGGGAAATGTTCTTCTATCTTGGACCTGTTATTCTGATTTGGCTTTAAGTGTTTGTGGGTTTTGTGTGTTACCCCAGAACATCTTAACATCAGGGCAATTACGGAACTCGCTGTAATCCTCATCCATCCGTCAGATGTTTTCACACTTATTCTAGTCACTGTGAATTTTGGTCAAATGGTCTGGGCATATTTTTTTACGTTTTTGCACATTGATACTAAAAATCCTAGTTTTAGCTTTTCTTTTTTTAACGGCACCTCTGAGGCTGCCTCTGAGAATCAATCAATTATAGCTATTGGCTGTGTCAAATTTCAAATGGGGTCCTGGATTCCAAGACTGTTGTGGGTTGGTCTTCCATCTGAGCCCCAAAACCCGTACACCCCTGTGCCAGATGCTGGGTGGGTCGCAATCTGGGGTCGAGTGACAGTCCTTCAGGGCATAAGGATAGATGGTAGATGAGGATTTAAAAAGGAATGCTACCCCGGACGGGCCTTGGAAAAGAAAGTGTAACAAAAATCCCCCTCCCATCCTGCTCAATTTGACCACTGGATGTTTTAATTTTTTAATCGTTAAAACCTTCACCCCTTATTTGTCCTCCTGGAAGCTTCCTTCACACGCTCCGCCATTTATGACCTTTCTTCTTACATTAAAGTTTGCCAGCGGGTTTCCAAGTTCTTCCACTGTTTTCTACGTCTCCATAAATCTCCCTTGTTTGACTTAAACTGTCAGGATTTTCAAGGGGGGGGCACAAAGCATATTTTTCATTTCACTAAATTCCTTTTTTCTTCTATAAAATCATGCACTGGAGAATTGTTAACTGTCGTCTCTTGCTTTATCTCCCGGTGAGGTAAAGCCAGACTCACTTGCTTACTTATTAATCTGCCTTTTGTCGCGTATCACTGGCTTCTGTTCGAACCCGCTGAGGCTACGTCCTGAACTTGGGAACGCCGGTAACATGTCAGATCTTCATCCCTCGTTAAGTCTTTTTTTTTTTATCAAATGAGCATGATTGTATTATTTACATGAGCAGGGCAGACCGTATTTTGGGTGGCTATGTGCCGAGATGAGTTTGTGGGACAGTTGACTTTTTTTAGATGAGGGTGGTGTAATATCTCCACAAAGGGCAGAGTTCCAAGTTCCCCCATCAGTGAGTCACCTTCTCCTGAGCCCTAAAACCCGGTACCGTGTGCCTTCACTGCAGCATGGAGATGTTTACTCGTTTGGCATTGAGGTGCAGACAATGAGCTAATTACTTTTCTGGGAACAATTACACAACGCCGCAAGTATTGTAATAAGGAAAATTTGGTGCGTAGTTTTTTTTTTTTTTTGCGCTAATTGCCAGCACTCTCGTTTTCTGCGGCCCGCTGCTGAGACGGAGGAACGGGTGTGAACTGTAAAACAGGTTTACCTGGCCGTCTTCGATGATGTTTGGCCGTCCTTGCCACAACGGGGATCTCCAGGCTTGCTGTGGAAGATCTCAGCCTGCATAAACCCATCGGAGCCGGCCATCTGGTCACACCGACCCTGTAATCTCTGTGAAGGAAGGCCGTGGTGTTGGATTTGCGTGGAAGCCGCTTTGTGAGAGCAGGGACCTTCCTCCCATGGCCGCGTATGCACGCACGCATCCGCAGGGTTAGGAGCTGTCCGACACTGTGAATTCCCCAAAGCTCCCTCTCTTTATCTTGTTTGTTTTCAGTAGATGACTTCCACAAGAAAAAAGAACACATTTCCAAGAAATATGTTTGCAAGCATGCAGGCTCAGTTAATTGTGGAGGTTCTTCAGTAGAATAGCTTCAGTCTGGGGTATTTCAAAGGGGGTCTAATTTTCTAATTAGAGCTGTAATTTGATAGGCAGCAGAACTGGCCCAACTTAAGTGTGAAAAGGGTCTCCTCACCCCAGCTGAAAGGCATCCTGTAGGGGCCTCTTCTGACTCAGTGGAGGTCACATAATTAACTGACCAAATGTTTCTCCTGCCGGCCGATTAATGACTGACCCCCTTGTTTTAAAATAGTCCTCTGAATAGCAATCGCATAGGCACAGAAAGGGCCGGCATTTTCGACTGAGGGGGTGGTGGTTTGCTTCAAGTCGTGCCAAGAGGTTTTAAATCGCATCATATATATTTTTTATTTCCTAGCAGATACTTTTTGGAGTGCGATCTGTCGTGCGCAGATGAGGGAGGGGAATCCAATCGCAGCTGAAGACATGCTTGCTGGATTGAGCAGTCCTACATTTTATACCTGATTAAATTTTATTGAACTTTCAGGACCTTCCCCCAAAGGTCTTCCATGTCGTCCGCGTTCCCAGAGACTTGTTAGCAGCGACAGCCTTTCGACCGGCTTTAAAACACCGGCCGGCAAAAGTGGCCTAACGGGACGAGAGGAACGAGATGAGAAGTTTTCTCGTCGGTCGCAGTGCAGCATTTCTGAGGCAGCATTGGCGGTATGAATGGATGTACCCATTGATAAAGACGCCGTGTTCTCTCCCCCTCCAACCCCCCCTCCCAACCCCCACAGGAAGCTGCACAGCGGCATGAAGACCTACGGCTGCGAGCTGTGTGGGAAGCGCTTCCTGGACAGCCTCCGCCTCCGCATGCACTTGCTGTCACACTCAGGTAAGTGGGTGCTGCTTCCTGGCCCGGCCCAACCCAGCCTGCCTTTCACCTCACCCCACTTCATCCTACAAAGCGGTGTATCGACGTGGCCTGACTGGCACTTCTCTCCAGAACATCTTGCCCCGATCCCTGACCCTATTTACACAGTTGGATTTTTTTTATGCCGTTTTTTTTCCCCCCACTTTTACTAGCGGGCTTCCCTCTCTCGGGCATTTAATTGCCGGTGGTTTATGGAAGCCCTATAAAAACCACCGGTCTGTTGTCCCTGCAGGCCAGCTCTGACATTGAGGCCATCTCTTCTCCCCTTTCCTGCATGTCCTCCACGTCTCAGGCTCTTACACCCCCCGCCCCTCGTCTTTTTAGAGATAGCAGCAGCTTAGAGTTCGGTTGGAGGTTGGTGCCTCCATTCAGAAGAGGTTCCACAAATATGATAAATACAATAAATAAAATCTGAACATCCAGTTTTCTACTCAATAAGTTAAAACGTTTTTTCCCAACGTAATTCATCTGACTTCCAGAACATTGTGCGATCAGGTGAAATGATTTGCTCAATTTTTTGTCATGTTTTTTTTTCTGTGTGTGTGTAATAACACAAGACTAATCGTTTCTCATGCTGTGTTGGTGAATTCCGTGCACGTCAATCCCAGCATGCTCTAGCATTCTTGGACAGTGTCATCCTTAAACGTTCTTGTGACATACTCTCTCTCCCTCTCCTCCTCCTGCCCCACCCCCCCCATTCGTGATCCACACAAATATTTTGGTCACACGTCATGCCTGACCCCCTCCATAATAATTGCCCTTAATATGGCTCTTCATGCTTTATACCAGGGGGGAGAGAGTTTTATTACAAACTATTTAAGCCAGAGAAATTGGCCGGAAATATTCATACAGGTTGCCAACTGAACTGGAAACTTCTGGAAATGTACATACTGTGAGAAGTGTATGAATAGGCATAAAAGATTAAATGGCCAATACAATGTATAACACGTTTGGCTATGTCTGCTGGGAATTTTTTGCTTCTTTTTAAATGTAATTAATACTTCCGTAAAAAGGTAAATTACTGTAACTACATGTTTTCTCAAAACTTTTTATCGATGTGACAAAATACAATAATTCAACTATGTTCGGTTTTGAAGAAAACAGTGTAAAAATTACTGTTACTATTAAATCCACACTAAAACCGAGGCAACACGCCCTTTTTCTCAGTTTCAGTGGTACTGTGCTTTACCTTTTGTAGGGCAGAATAGGCAGTAACGATGACCCATCAAAGTTCTGAAACATGAACCAAATTTTAGGACTTAAACAAAGTGAGGAAATTAAAAATGTGATATGTGGTCTCTTCCTTTTCTTTCCCGCCATGTTCTGACAAATTAGTTACAGATGTCTACACAAACGCATACACGCCTTGCTAACTTTCTGAGGTAATCGACGTCGCTGCTCACATTTACCCACGTCCCGCCGGCTTTTAACTTTGTGAAATGAACCCCCTCATGCTAATTTGGAGCTAATGGGCTAATATCATCATGCTGGGCCACATTTGCAGTCAAGGTGCCAAGTAAATGGATGTTTGCGCTCATATTTTGTGCAGAGTAGCATCATATAAGGGTCTGTATAAGGTCAGCGGAAACGATTCTATCGAATGCTAACGTGGTTTATGCTTGGAGAAGCCGTCTCCAGCATGCACTGAGCTTCAGGGAAAGGCCTCCATGTTTTTCGGCAAATTCTCCCCCCCCCCATCTGCTCCCAGTAAGCAGTAACCTGGCAAGACAAACATGTAAATATGCGGGTAGCAACTCGGGCGTCATGAGGGATGTTTTCCAGGAACGGGGTGACCAGCCGATTCCTATGAAATGGTTCAGAAAAGGGCACGGGGCAGGCAAGGGGCATAGGGGGTGGGGGGGTGGGATCCTGTAATTGACGCAGTGCTCAATTGTCAACCCCCCCCCCCCAGAGGTGGCACTCCCATCGAGGTTAGGGACGAGGTCTCTGAAGCTGCGGCAGGATCGGTGCTCGCCTCAGGTGACAGGAGTGCATTTTTAGCACAAAACCCGGGGTTGCGGGGGCTGTTTATTTTTAGAAGAGGCCCCTGATTCTGCAGACAGGCTGCTGCTGCGCACCGGTGGCCTGATTTATGTGCGTCACGCGGGGCCGACGGCAGCGGGCACGGGGCATGCTTCCGCAAAGCGCCTCGCCCTACCGCTGCCGCCGCCACCACTCTGCTTTGACGTTTGGGGGGGGGCTGGGGAGCGAGAGACGGTGGGGCTGTGAGTACCCCCACCATTATGGAGGCGGGTCATAAATAGCAGCATTAAGTCATCAGTCTTCTGTAGCTTATTATGCTTATTTTTTTCTCTGTTTTTAATGTGTTTTTGTCTGACTTTATCCACCCCCCCCTTTCTAGGGGAAGGTATCACAAGTGAGTCGCTGAGTCATGCAGCCGTCACCTAGTTAAAGGGAGATTCGGGGAGATGGGGGGTACAGTTTGGTCTGCAGAGTGTTTTTGTGGTGTACCGTTTCAGCTTCCGAACTCAGACTCACACTCCCTCTCCCCTCCACTCGTCTCTATGTTTATTTTACTGTGGATTTGGCAGCTGTCCAACCTGGGCTTCCTGCCATTGCTTTGAGTACAGTATGTACAGTGAGTCTTGTGCCAGTTTTTTTTTTGTTTTGTTTTGTTGTGTTTTTTTTCAGTGTGTGTGGTGTTTTTGTTTTGTCCCCCATTGTCTGACAGTGGTGATCCTGGTGGTGGTTCGGACCCCATCGAATCCCTGCCATCTGATGGTCACCCTCCCCTGTAAACACTGCTGTTTGGTGGTGGGGGGGGAGCGGTAGTGTAACAGTTTTTTTTTTTTTATATAATTTTATTTTTTTCATGGCCTATTACTTCACATGCTATGGCGGTTCTTAAAAAAAGACAAAAACAGCAAGTGTGGCTATCGTGCTGCGGCGGGTGGCTCCCCCCCCCCCCCCCCAAGCCCCTGCATGTGTTCGTGGCCTCCGCACGCATGGCTAGGGTCAGGTCTAGGCCATGCTTTGCCCCACCTGTAGATACGGAGGTGGCGACCTCCGTGTTGCCTTGCATTCTCAGGATGGGAAAGTGGAACAGGATGGAGTCTTGCTTTTGACGTCAAACCATGCAATGGAAGTGAAAGGTATGCTGGTAACAGTGGCAGTTGGCAGTGTTTGTTCTGATGCAAAGGAAGCATTCCAAATGATGGCCCAGTTCCCTTCCTGGGGGGGTCAGATGAGGTGGGGTCATACAGTTCTAGCTACCATGAGACAGACTTTTGATCCCTGATGATTTGAGCTTAACTTGGAGATCTATGGCCTGCCTCTGGCCTACTATTACTGAGAGGTAATAGTGGTAAGAGTGTTTGTTTACATTCCGGTCTCACCCCCCAAGATGTAGTCTGTAGGCCGTGTGTGATGTGGGCAGGTGACAAATGTCGAAGCCCACCCCACCCCCCCCCCAAAAAAAGAAGTTGCATCACGCTTTGATTGAGAAACATCTGCGATTTCATCTAAATGTTTCTATCACCCCTGTCAAAACTCCCAATCCTTTTCATTCCTGTTACTCATATTCTCTCTGCTCGTTGGACGGTTTATGTTGGATGTTTTGAAATGTGACTGTTTGGACTTATGACTCAAGCTCCAAATTTGTCGTGCTATCGCAAATCAACAAAGGGTGACCTAAAAAGTCTCGCAGGCTTTGGAAAATCCTGCTAAGCCGCATAAAATGGCTGATTTCCGTGTGGCACTGCCCAGCCTGATTTGGGCCTGGTGCCTTTTGTACGGTATCATCAGAGGAGATTCGAGGCTGACAAGGGCCTGAGACGTTCCACGCCCCTCCACTGTGCTGACAGAGTTGTTACATGGCCCCTTATTGGTTGCTTTATTCTGGGGTGCTTTACCATGACCCCTAATTGGTCACTTTATGCTGGGGTGCTGTATTACGGCCCCTTATTAGTCACTTGCCATATGTGTCACATCAGAGGTCAAAGTGTAGCGTCTGCTGTCCACGGAAAGGTGAGCGGGTGCCTTCTGTCACCAGTAACACCCGAATCGGTCTCTTGATTGGTTACCGTGAGCTTGGATGCCACAAGTTTACTGACCCCCCCCCCCCCCCCCCCCCCCCCCCCCCCCCCCCCC